CCGCTCCTCCCCAGTTCCACGACAAGATCGAGCCCATGCTGGAGACCCTGGAGAGCCTCTCGTCGCGCCTGCGGCTGCCGCCCCTCATCCCCGCCGAGGTGGACAAGATCCGCGAGTGCATCAGCGACAACAAGAACTCCACGGTGGAGCTGGAGAAGCTGCAGCCCTCCTTCGAGGCGCTCAAACGGCGCGGGGAGGAGCTCATCGGCCGCTCCCAGGGGGCTGACAAGGACCTGGCAGCAAAAGGTATCTCCRGAGAGATTTGGGTGTCCAATTTCTCCCCAAATCACGGCTCTGTCGCTGCTGGAGGGGCTTTGATGTCCCAGGGGTGTATTTGGGAGGTTCTTCTGGCTTTAGGGGGAAAGATGACCCAACTCTGGATGGGTTTGGGAAGTTCTCCTGTCCTTGGGAAGACTCTTCAGTCCTCTGGATGGGTTTGGGGAGTTCTCCTGGCTGCAGGACCAAGGATGAGCCCTCTGGATGGATTTAGGAGGTTCTTGTGGCTTTAGGACCAAGGATGAGTCCTCTGGATGGATTTGGGGGTTCTCCTGTCCTTGGGAAGACTCTTCAGTCCTCTGGATGGGTTTGGGGAGTTCTCCTGGCTCTAGGACCAAGGATGAGCCCTCTGGGAGGTTCTCCAGGCTTTGGGACCAAGGATGAGTCCTTTGGATGGGTTTGGAGGGTTCTCATGGCTTCAGGGGGAAAGATGAGTCCTCTGGATGGATTTGGAAGGTTCTCGTGGCTTCAGGACCAAGGATGAGTTCTCTGGATGAATTTGGGAGGTTCTCCTGGCTACAGGACCAAGGATGAGCCCTCTGGATGGATTTAGGAGGTTCTCGTGGCTTTAGGACCAAGGATGAGTCCTCTGGATGGATTTGGGGGTTCTCCTGTCCTTGGGAAGACTCTTCAGTCCTCTGGGTGGATTTTGGGTGTTCTGGTTTTAGGACAATGGATGAGCCCTCTGGATGAGTTTGAGGGATTCTCCTGGCTGTGGGACCAAGGATGAGTCCTCTGGATGGATTTGGGAGGTTCTCCTGGTTTTAGGACCAAGGATGACCCCTCTGGACGGATTTGGGGGTTCTGGCTGTAGGACCAAGGATGATTCCTCTGGACAAAGCTGTGCCTGCTCCCATCAGGAGCAGACAGGGTGGCATCAGTCAGAGGAGAAAGGAGCATTTGTGGCTTTGCAGCCGAGCTGGCCTCATGTCGGTGGCCCCTGGGAGATGATTCGCTGGTTCAATTCAGCCTCTCCTGGAGGGGAGGAACCTCCCCCAGCACAAAAAGCCCATCAGCACTTTAGATTGGCACTAATTGGCACCTCCCTTGGCAGCTGCTGGGCCGAGGGGCAGRGGCTTCATGCTAGAGGTGGCCAGAACAGAGGTTTATCGCAGGGACAGCGTGTGGGAACATTCGTTTCCCGAGCTTGCACATGAATAAAAGCTTTATTTCTGCAAGCTGGAGTTTCTCACGTCCTCCAGCACCTCCCAAAATTAATGCCCCATTGGTCCTGGCCATTTTTAATTCCCCTCTGGATATTCTCTTGGCTGTTTCTGAGTGTTTTCAGAATGTTTTTTGAGTACAAGTTTCACCCATTCACTGAATATTTTAAATTTCCTTCCCCAGTCATCCAGGACAAGTTGGACCAAATGGTTTTCTTCTGGGAGGACATCAAAGCTCGGACCGAGGAGCGGGAGATGAAGTTCCTCGAYGTCCTGGAGCTGGCTGAGAAGTTCTGGTATGACATGGCAGCTCTGCTGACCACCATCAAGGACACCCAGGACATCGTCCACGACCTGGAAAGCCCAGGAATTGACCCTTCCATCATCAAGCAGCAGGTGGAAGCAGCAGAGGTGAGACCTGTAGGGCTCTGTCTCAGTCTGGAGTTTGTTTAGCCTCAGTTTATCTGTTAAATTGGGAAGATTTAAGTTCTGAGATGCTCAAATCATGCCCATGGCCAGAGGTGTTTGTAAATCAGATTCGTGGGTGGGCAGTGGGGTTGTGAGGAGTTATTTCCATCGTGGTTTGGAGCTGCCAGGACAAATCCAGCAGAAAATATATGTGAAATATGGATTTCACATATCCTTCACCTTAAATGCTGTGCCCCTGCAGACCATCAAAGAGGAGACGGACGGGCTGCACGAGGAGCTGGAGTTCATCCGCCTCCTCGGAACCGACCTCATTTTCGCCTGTGGTGAGACTGAGAAACCCGAGGTGAAGAAGAGCATCGATGAGGTAGGGATGAGGCAGCTTCTCCTTGGGGTAAAACCAGATAAAACGGGGTGGGAGCTGTGGTTGGGGAAGACCTGACGGATTTTGGGGCAATCCCACAGATGAACAGCGCCTGGGAGAACCTGAACAAGACGTGGAAGGAGCGGCTGGAGAAGCTGGAGGAGGCCATGCAGGCGGCTGTGCAGTACCAGGACACGCTCCAGGTATGGGGTGGTGGCCTGGGGGGACCTTGGTGACACCCCTGAGGATCCTCCCTGGGAGCTGGGCTGGGATCTGCACTCCCCAAAGCAGGAGGAGCCTCCTGGGTGAGGGTTTGCAGGCTCTGAGGGAGAACATGTGTTTGGCATCCCAAAATCTTGATTCCTGCTCAGAGCAGCAGGAGAGGGGAGGAAAA